CCTGCTCCAGGTCCTCTGCCTGCAGCAGACCTCAGCCCATCCTCCCTGTCTGGTGCTGGAGTCAGTGCATGCCATCATGTTTGGCTCAGACATCCCCTCCTAAGCTCTTCTTTTCCACTGCAGGCAAAAATTGAGGATCCAGAAACAGGGCAGTCTGTGCCTCTGAACACTCCCGGGGAGCTTCAGATCCGCGGCTACTGTGTCATGCTGGGTTATTGGGACGACCCAGCAAAGACGAGTGAAGTGGTCACTGCCGAGAGGTGGTACAAGACGGGGTGAGTCTGGAAACAGCCTTGCTCCTGCCGATCTGTCCTGCCCGGTGATGCTGGATGGGGACGGGTGTGTACAGGAGTGCCTTGGCTGTGATTTCCGAACTAGGGAAAACTGACCTAATTTAGCCCTCTGATCTGTCCGTGAAACTTCAGAACAGCTTTTAGCACAGGCCCTTGGTGCCAAGTGCCCCTGGAGACAGGGATAGTCACTTCGCTACTGGTGCAATGGAGGGGCTATGGGGGTACACCACAGGGGCAGGAATTGCCTCCCCCCGAGCCCTGATCTTTGTGTGGACGCTGCCGATGGCAATGTCCAGCTGTAGCAGGAGCTCTTTGATCTCTTCCATGTGTTCAGGTGGCATCTCAGCCGTTATCCTCCCGATACCCTGACCTGGCCTCCAGACCAGGCTGGGTAGGAGCATCAGCCATTCTTCCACCCAGCTGGGACACGACTAGGAGTGTGGTGTCGTTGCAGGGACATTGCGAGCCTGGATGAACACGGCTACTGCAAAATTATAGGCCGTTGCAAGGACATGATCATTCGGGGAGGAGAGAACATCTATCCAGCAGAACTTGAGCAGTTTCTCCACACCCATCCCAAGGTTGAGGAGGTCCAGGTGAGCGGGAGGGAGGTGGGGTGAGTGAGCAGCGATGGTTCCTGGGGTGAGAAACCTGTACAGAAAGCTGCTGGGATGCTGCTCGGGACCTGGTTGTCTTCCCCTGTTTTCAGCATCAACTTCTGTGTAATATGGGTTGGCAAGCAGGAAGGAGAGGCTCATGGCAGGCAGAGCTCCTGGCATGGGGCACATCAGTTTGGGCAATCCTCTCGTGCACCAGCAAAGCAACCATCTGCAAAGTAACGACTGTCATTCTTCTTTGGTTTTTAAACTGCCTGTTCACTTTCGTAGCTCCCTCTGAAATGCTTACTTGGAAAGCAGTCTGAAAGGACAGTTTTTACTCATAATTAATTACTAAACTCCTAAATCCAAAAAGACTCCTCCAATGAGTCCTTGGAGGTGAGGAGTGAGACTTAGTTTCACCCCTTCACAAGACAGCAATGATTTGCAGCATTGAGCAGCTGCTCCCAATCTGCTGGGATTGTTCTCCTCCAGGTTTTGTGCCAGACAAGTTTCCCCATAAATAAACCAGTTATTTAGTCAGTGTTGTGCCTGTGCCAGGCTAGCATCTCTCCTTGGAACAGTCCCAGTGCAGATGGGTTGCAAACCAGCCTTGTTTATGTAGTTTCTAGGGCTTTATGTCACTGCTCTGGACTCAAAAGGATCGACGTGTCTCTAGGATTCTGAGATACCAGTTCAAGGCGGGGAATGACAGTAGGACTCTTGTGAAATAGTGTGAGCAAACTTTAGAGAGAGATCAGGCTTGGGAAGCCCATCTCCTGGTGTCACAGGCAGTGATCCACGAAGATCTGTGATTATAAGGGTTTCAAATAATCTTGTAATTCAACTTCATCCCTCTCCTGCTGTTCCGTCTGGAGATCCCAAGGCACTTGCAGCAGCCTCCCAAGTCTCCCTGTTAGTTGTGAAACCTGTTGCCCCATTTTTGGGGGAAGCAGAGGCACACAGAGGGACGATAGGTCCATGTTGCACCCACGATGAGCTGCTGTCTGGCTGCTCTAACTCAGCCCTCGCTCCAGTGACTTAGCAAAATTGAAGGAAGGTGCTGGCATCCCGATGCCCAGCCTGCTCTGCCACTTTTCCTCTGGCAAATGGTTGGGAAGTCCTTCCAGGAGGGCTCGACGTCGTGTAGAAAGCACCGGTGGGATGGTCAAGCAGCTCAAACTGCCTTTACACAGCCCCACGCCACAACTCCAGCATCCTGTGATATGGGTGCGTGCTGTGGGCCAGCACGTTTACCCTGTGGGAGGAGAGGGAAGTCCCCAGGGGTCACGCCATCCATCTGTCCCAACCAGGTGGTTGGTGTGAAGGATTCGCGGATGGGAGAGGAGATCTGCGCCTGCATCCGAGTGAGGGCTGGGCAGGACTGCACCGAGGAAGAGATTAAAGCTTTCTGCAAAGGGAAGGTGGGTCCCCCAGTCCTCAGTTCCCTGCCAGACCAGTACACCCAGCAGCTGCTGGGGACGTGCTGATGAAAGCCCAGGGATTTAGAGCAACTGGGGATCCAGCCCTGGGAGTCCCAGCTTGGGTAGTACCAGCTGGGCTGGCAACACTGTTCCCGGCAGGTTGCGTAGCGGTTGGTTTTCTCTTCCCAGATCTCCCATTTCAAGATCCCGCGGTATGTTGTGTTCGTGGGTCAGTACCCGCTCACCGTCTCAGGCAAGGTAAGAGAGGGGCTGGAGCAGGGCAGGAGCCCTGGCCTCCTGTCCCGTCTCCTGTCTGAGTCTCTCTTCCTCCTCCTCTCTGCACTTTATTCCAGATTCAGAAATACAAGTTGAGGGAGCAGATGGAGAACCACCTTCAGCTCTGAGCTTGGGAAGCCAGAGCAAAAACCAGGATAAATCAGCCCCGCTTCAGCCAGCTTTGCGTCTGCTTTTCACCTGTGCCTTGGGCTACGCAATGGAGACCTTCTCTCCCTGACATCAGGCTGATGGCACTTTTAGTTAATAAAACAGAGCGCCTTTTTTTCCCAGTTGGGTTTGTTTCTTTGCCAACAGAAATACTGTGGTGTGAGGAAGGGATGCTTATTTCTGGAATTCTGTCCAGTTACTGAAAGACCTTATGAAGGTTTTAAAATCTTGTGTGTCTCTGAGCAATTTGGCTGCAGCCATTTCAGAGGACTTGAACTGATGCTGGTAGGTATTTTACTGGTATTTTTAAGTCATAACAGCCTGGCCTGGCTTCCCAGGGTAGGTGAATGCCTTCTGTGCTTGGGTGTTGCTGAGGCTCCTAGGTCATATAATGCAGCTAATGAACTCGAAATGAGGGGCAGGGACTTTAGAGAGTGCAAAGGCATGGGAAGGAGCTCCCTAAAGCTGGCTGGAAAAGCTTGCCCTGTTCCCACACCTCCCCTGGGCCTTCTGACCCCCAAAGAAACTTCTCCAAGGCAGACTTGGCATTGTTTATTTTGTCGTTTTGGACAAGACAGACCGTAAGGATTTTGCAGAAATACCAAAGTTCCTGTCCCATCGGCAGTGTGAAGCAGAACATACCTGGGACAGTATTTTACGGGAGTTATTTGGTACCTCCCAACCATGAAACACTACTCCAAGAAGTGGAAGAGCAGAGCTCCTCTTCCTTCCTGGCAGAAGTGTCCCACGCCAGCTGGGAAGCAGATAACGATGCTGCCGACTCTCACCGACCTCCTGGCCATCACCCTCCTGCTTCCTTCCCTAGCAGGGCTAGCAACTGGGCCTCCATCTCCACACTGGGGCTTCCTCCGGTAGGTGGGGGGAAATGGTGCAAAGGAGAGAGGTGAAACATCAGCGAGGTCTCGATCCTGGATCTCCCAGCTGGACTGTGGGCTCTACCCATGGAAGCAGACCAAGTGGACAACACGCCCACTGTTTGTGCCTGCTTTCTGAAAGAAAAAAAACACATGGGATGGTTCGTGTCAGACCCTTTCTGTATGGTGTCTCTCCAGCAAGTTTTTCCCCCATTCCCAAACTGCTCGTGAGGCTGGTGTCAGAATGTTTCACCAGCTTCACCTCTGCCCAACCTGGAGTAAGTGGGATGTGTGCAAGCAAAACTCGGGTCTCTTCCCTGCCCTGGTTTTAGGACCCTTGTAAACCTTCCTTCCCCAAGGAGGAGCTGTTACCTGCATTACAGCAACTCCAGCCAGTGATCTTGGGGATGCAGTGGACCTCTACATCCAATGTCTAGGGAAGGACTTTCTACTTTCCTTCGCTTCCCACAGCACTAACCCAGGTGCAGGACAGGCCTGCAGTGAGAGGAGCTTCTCTGGTTCTTGTCTGATAACTCCACCCTTTGCACAACCCCTGTGCTGCCTAGAAGCGCCTTATATACTCACCGTAGCTGGGGGTTGGCCGGTAAGAAATGAAGTCAGCGCTGGCTTGCATGGGTAGGCACACTGCTGAGAAACACAGCGAGCACCAGTCACAGCTGGCACAGGGCAGGTGTGGGCCCCTGTCACCCCATCCCTGCTCCCCAGAGCTCCGCTCGTGTCCCGGGAGCAGTGCTGCACTGTCCGTGGGTCTGAGCCCCAGCAGAGCCTGACTGCCCGGGAAGTTTTCCTTCCCTGCCATCCCCTTCCCCGTGGCCACATCCAGCCCTCACTGGCCAGGACACCTCCTGAGATGCCCCGTGGCCATCTCACCCCCCCCCCCCCGCCCCGGGACGATGCAGCCTAGGCTGTAAATACTCACAGGAGGCAAAAGGCTGAACCTCCTGGCTGGCAGCATAGCTTCAGTGTGTGCTGGGCTGCGGGCAGGCTCCAGGGCTTCTGCCCTTCTCGTACCCGGGTCCTGCTCTTATAGCTCTCGCTGCCCACTCGGAAAATCCTGGTAGCTGGGGGCTCTTCCCGGGGAGGGAGAGTTACGTCAGGGGTGGGTTACTCTGAACTACCCCCTTCCCGGCCTGGAAACAGGAATCTGCGGCCACGGTCTTTGTCATCGGCATTTCTCACTTCTCCGTGGCTATTAATAGAGCAAATTCAGAAAAAAATAATACCCGGCACTGTCAGCACTGGGTTTGCACAACCCTGCGCGGAGACGCATCACGGCTCCTTTCTCCAAAACAGCCCCTCTGCTGGAAACCCCTGCTCCAGCCCCGGAGAGGCAGCCGGGGGCGGCGGATGCCGGGGCGGGTCCCGGGGCTGCCCCAGCCTCGGCGGGACCGTGTGCCCGGTACGGCACCGGGAGCGGGCCCTCGGTCCCGGCACCCCCTCCCCGTACAAGCTCTCTGGAAG